AAGATTGTTGGGTGTGAGTTCAGCCCCTCATGTTTGTTTTTCGTCCATTGATGAAGTTGTGCGTTAGGTGTGATTCATTCTTGAACATTTGTATTGCTTTAGAATTTTTGACATGTGTTTTGTGCTTAGACTTTGTTTCATATTCGTTGCATCGTTGTAGTTTAGTGGTAAGCATTGATTTGTTTGTACTTTTGATATTTGTACCATACATTTGTTTTTGTTTGTAAAACCTTGTTGAACATAATTTCTTGATAGTAGCTTTGTTTCTTTAAGTTGATTGATTCTTGTTTGAGGACAAAAAAGTCTAAGTTGAGGAGAGTTTGATGAGTGCTAAACTTTTATGATTTTTAGTGTGAATAATTAGCACTCATCGGCTTAATTCATTCATTTTATACCATTAAACCTCAAGTTTTGTGTATATTTTATTTAGTTTATGTTATAATGTATATATTGCATTATTGTGTAAATATAATTGAGTTTTTAATTTTTTTTTATCTCACTTTTTAGGTATTCAAGCAATGATATTTATTCATTGTCTTATAGAGCATTAAATAAGCTTTCCAACGCTTCTGACCGTGCGTAAAACGAAGCTACGACTCTCAAGTTATGGTCAAAACAAGAGCTAATTTGTCTGTCATGGTCGCTGTGTGAGCTGAAGGCGACCAGAAATTGCTCAGAAGCATGGAAAAGCACTATTTTGGCAGTAGCTAAGTATGATATGCTCACTGTGCAACCTAGAGCTCGCACAGCGACCGCGAGACGTCATTTTTGCCTATAAAGTCATTTTTTCCAGCATTTTTTAGGTTATGTTCTTTGGGATTTTTACTCCCAACTTCATCACAAACATATTTTTGAGTAGAGAGGCTTAGAAACAACATTAGAGTGTATTTCTTGATGATTTGGAGTTGGATTTGCTTCAATTGGCGTTAACAAACCGAGAGATTGCTCTTCATCTTCCTTCTTCTCTTTGTATCCTCTATTTGTTGGGGTTTTTATGTAAGTTTATCTTGATTGTATGTATATTTATTGATCATTGTATAAGATTTCTCTTACAACTCTTTAGCGATGTCATCTTTGATTTTTACTTAATGAGTTTCGATTGCTATAGACATATACTGTTTGAACTCGATCTAGGATGAACACCTGTTAGATTCTAAATTCTAGACATAAACTTAGGTCTAATATTTGTGTGGGTATCGGTTCTTAATGCTCTGTGTTTTTGAGTTGTGTGAGACATCACTGATGAGATGATACAATTTTTCTCTCAACTTTGTGTTAGATATGACCTTTGTTGTGAGCGATACGTAATAATATTGACGAGTGATTTAGGTTGTGTACAGTTGATTGATAGACTTTTTAGTATTTGATGGGTAGATGAAATATAATTTCTGATGAGTTCTCTCTTTCTTAAAGAATGTATTCTTTACTTGTTCATATGTTTTACTTTTCTCACTTTACTCTTTCAAACTATTCAAACCATTCAAACCAAGCTTAGAGATGTAGAGATTGTCGAACAAAATTCTTTTCCTCTCATCGATCCCTGTGGACACGATAAAACTCGGAGGGAGTTCTTCCAAATATTTTGCTTCTTGCCGCTATGCTGCAGTTTGAACAGCAGGCGAGAGTTTCTCAAAAGAAAAAAGAGCTTTTGAATTTTTTTAAGGATCCACATAAGAGAAGATCGACATTTAAGCCAACAACGAGTTCTTGTGTACAGGTGGGTTAGTAGGAAGCTATGAAGCACGAACTCCAATGTTGAAACAAAATTGTTCATATCCCTTGCGTTTTGGTGATAACAAAGTACTTAAAGAACAATTGAGTATACTAACATATGTTCAAGTGTGCAAGATCATGACCTTAAAAATCAACTTAGGACTAATCCTAGTTTAAGCATATAAAGAGAAGTTAATGGACTCAGATTCTGAAGGATCAGAATCTGATGACTCAGAATGTGGTATCTCAGCTTCTGGTGACAACTCGGATTCTAAAAACCTGAGCTAAAGGTACTCTACTTTTGATATGTACTCTATCTCCATAGCATATCAATATTTATCAAAGCCGGATTATTGAAAAAGTCAACTAGAGTTTCTTAGTGCAAGACTCAAGGAAAATTGACGTGACCTCTTAAGTCTTCCCCAATATCTTGGTAGATATATAGTAAGAGAAAGGCGCAGTAGATAAAGTTATTACACAAAGGATGAAGATCTTAAAAGGATTAACTGCCAACGTCTCTCCTCAAACTGCTTCTCATCAAAGATCACTTGTGCAAGTTACCTTTCAAAGTATCTTTTTCTACCTCTATAAAAGGAGTTACAGATTTGAAGGAAGATAAATAACCATCTAACATGAACAATAACGATCGCAACTTTGATCTAAAGTTTTAATAACTGTTTACTGCACAAGTTCTTAAGATTTCTTATCTTTGTATTTCTTAGAAATCTTAAGTGCTTAAGGATCTTTGTGTGTTGTATCACTTATATACTTCTGATTTTACATCAAGTATAGTTCTTATCTATTCTCCTAAAGTATTTTTTTAGAGTATGAGAAGTCTCTTGCTAGTTTGTTTGAGAAGTGGAAGTCTCTTGGCTGTGTGCTTGATCACTAGAAGCCTTTTGCTCTTGTGCTTGAGTAGAAGCCTTTTGCATGTGTGCTTGGGCAGAAGTTTCTTTCTAGTGTGATTGAGCAGTTGAAGTCCCTTGCTAGTTTGCTTGAGCAAAGTGTAATCTGTTTGATTATAGGGAAAATCTCTTGTTGGACAAGGGGACTGGGATACTCTTAATTAGTTTGTGGGAGGAACTAGGATAACTCTGTATGTTGCTTTATTTATTGCTTCTGAATATTATTCATTCCACCGCTAACAACTCTGAGATCAGATTCTGAACTTGTTCAGTCTAAAGTTGGTTTTTTAGAAGAGAAAAAGAATTCACATACACAATTCACCCCCGTTCTTGTGTATTTTTCTCACATTCATCCAACATGGACACTGAGACACGACACCACACGGACACTCCGACACCGATAATGTCAAAGCATAAGACACCGATACCGCTATATATATAGAGTATTTCAATTTTATTTATCCATCTATGATAAAAAAAAGTTGAAAATATTCTAATCAAAATCAATGTCTTCAATTATTTATTGATAACATTGTTTAAATACATGTTTAACAATTTTAAATGTGTGTGAGATTTGTCCAAAATATATATAAATGTGTGTTGAAATAAAGAAAAAAAATTTCGTTTGAAACGCTTGTCTGAATTGTTTGACATATGTGTTATGAATGTCATACGAGTGTCAACCATTAATTTAAAGAGTATCAAAACAAAGAAAAAATATTTTTTTAGTGGACACTTGTCTAACTTTTCTGACACATATCGTACGTATGTCATATAAGTGTCATACAGCGACGCGTGTCAGATATTGCAATATATCTGATATTTTAGATTTTTAGCGCAAAAAACAATGAATCTCTTACAAAAACTTCAAATACTAATACATATCAATATTGTGTCTTTTAAATATGTATAAATGTAACTTTTAAAATAATTGATTTTCCTATCTAAAAAAAATCAACATGGTATAGTTTGTTGTCCTTTTACCTTTGTATGAATGTCAATTGAATTAAAATGACATTGAGAATAAGAGGTTGTAAGTTCTACATTTGTACTACTATGAGGTTATGATGACTAGTCATGCACAATTCATTGAATATTGACAAGAAAAACCAAACCTACATGTTTGCCAAAACGTGGATAAAAGAGAAACACTCTTTTGAATCTTGTATTTTACACAAAAACTAAAACTAAAAAGACCCTCTTTCCCTTTCTCTTTCCATTGGTTTTATATGAATGCATATGTGAGCATTTAATTTATCAAATTCATTGATTCCTTTTAGGTCATGTGTACCCTCATGTTTTCATGTCACTTGATACAGCCTAAAACTTGCCATTGCTTTGCTGTTAACATTTGTGTCCCATATTTTACAAAGTTGTCATTCCAAACAAAATGGCTTTTATTGCTTCTAGTTGTCATTTGTGTAGCTTATTTGAAACCTTACTCACTTTCCAGCAAAGCATACCCCATTTGTTCTTCCTAGCTATTTTGGCAGCAAACACGTGCATCCATTATATCATTATTACCATGTTCTTCATTCAAATATATTACTTTGTTCTGTGATATACTATCCAAAAATCTTTTGTCATGTTTCTTGTTTTTTCTGTCAACCAATTTCATCTTCTTTTCGTATGATTTGACTCTGACAAATATTTTATAAATTTTATTTAACCACGATTTTACTGTTTTAAATTTTAAAGAATATTTTTAATTTTTGTTTTAAAATTCCTAGGTAAAAACTCTACTAATAATCTAGAATGGTTTGAAGATAAGTGAAATCTGATTGTTGATTATTATTGTTATGGATCAAATTTTATTCGAACTGATTTGTTTTTAACTGAAATTCATTAACTATTTTATGGATCGAATCTAGATTTTCTGATTTGATTTGACTTTAACTGAAATTTATTAATTATTTGAGTTGAATTATTTAGACGGTTAAAAAGATTAGACGATCTTTAGGTTTTATAATAAAAAATTTAATAAATTACAGATATCGATAAAAACATTGTTAACGTCAAAATATAGAATACTGATGCCACGATCAGACACTCGAACACGTCTAAAACCATAAATTATTTAACCTTCTCTATGACCCCTTTATCAAGAAAACCATAAATTATTTTGCTTGGAAACTTGTTGTATTTGGTTAGAATGGCATTGATGATCACAATAAGGGAATGATACAACAATCAACATAGAGATGAAAGATGAAGCATGAAAACTTATGATTCCAATACTTGAAAGAATGTTTAGCAATATTTCCTTTGAGTAGAGAACTATGATTACAAATCAACAAATTCAAATTTTGAAGATGCATGGTTACAAAAATCCCAAGCATCATATACACAAAGAATAAAAAACAATCAACATTTTTTTCTATATCATTTCTTACTTCTACTATCCACACGTTTCTTCTCTTGTTTACTTCCATTCTTCTTAGAACAACTCTTACTTCCATGATCTTGTTTATCTTTCTTCGACACCGACGTACCGTTCCTCCCTTCTCCGCCGCGATGTTGTTGATAATTCATCGGCCCGGACGAAGCATCCGAAGCCATTGAATCGTCGCTTTCTTCTTCATCAACTTTCTTCTTTCTCCGATTCTTTTCGCCGTAGACTTCATGATGATTATGATTATATCCATCATTTTCATTGCTGCATCTAGCATCCTCTTCTTGCATTGGAGAATCAATATACATAGTCCAACCAGATTCACTACTGCTACAACCTTCACCCCAAATTTGTTTAAAAGAATCCATTTTTTTTTTATGATGGAGAAGAAGAAAAGAATCAAAGAAAATATATAGATGATGAATTAAAAAAAGAAACTATATATTAAAAATCTTTATCTTGTTGAGCTACAAAAGCATAATTTGGATAAAGAACCAAAAGGTAGTTGAAAAAAAAAAGCTTAAATTTTAAGTAGAAACTAGGAAGGTTCCTTGTATTATAAAACTCTTAAAATAATTTTTGGATGAACCAATTAAACAAAAGGAATGTTGGGGCTACCATCTTGTTGAGTCATAAGATGTGTATATAAATAATTCATTTTTTTTAACTTATGCTTTTGTCATTGAAATTGAAATATGACTTTTATTGTATAATACAGATGTCTTTCCAATAGCATCAGGTGCACAACTGGAAAGAATGTAATAATATCTTTGGTCTTGAATATGCTTTTTTTTATGTTTTTTTTCTCACTTTGTAAGTATTTGTCATTGCATGAATTTTTTTTGTCTGTATATTACAGTTTTTAGAACGTGCAAGACAGATTATCTTAAAAGATTTGAAATTTGTTAAAATTAAACTGATGTTAAGTAATATTTAGTAAAATATTTGTCATGGTTAAATTGTGGTAAAATATAAACTCTGTTAATTTTATTATAGTTAAACTATGACTAAATTATACAGAACTTTTAAAAACGTGAAACATCTCTTTTTGTCTTCGTCAGAATTTTCACACGATCAATGATTAGTAACAGTTGTATTAAAACTATACGATTTAGTATGATTTTCGTACATATACAAATTGAATGGGAAGGTGCATAATCAAATTTAAAATGATGGTAAGTTTTTTTTTAGTTTTTTTTTTAAGTTTGTTAATCTTGTTTGATATGTATTCATTGGTCTTGAAAGTGCTGAATCAACTTTTAAAATAAGTGATGGTAGGTTGTTGTTGGTGAGGTTTGTTGGCTAAACTTTGTTTAGGTGGGATGTGATCATGCTAACCACAATGTTAAACAATTGTAGTAACCTTACTAATAGCATGTTTTGGGATAATATTGATAAATGTGGTTTTAAATAGATTTGATTTTTTTTCTTTTCAATATAAACTAAACACATGTAGTTTTATAGAAACTACATTTGATATATGTTTTGAATTGGACATTATCGAGTAGTTGAACGTGTACTGCAATGTAGACTATTCGCCTTATAACTTAATTGGATCATAGGAAGTTGTGTCGATGATTTACATCCTCTTTCACAACATTTGGTTGACACACTAAGACCAAAGAAACAATGAGGGGTCATTGTTTAAGGGAAAAGGAGCCACTCTTAAATTACATTGAGTGTTTCAACAAGAAAGTCATCTTGGTCGATGTCTATTACATAATGAAAACTACTTTGTGGAATTGGGACTTCTTTTAAGAATTCCATTATCTAAAGAAATTAATCTCAAGTTGACGAGCTATCAAAAATATAGGGATATTCTTAAGAGATAATTCATAGAATTTTATCCTAAATCAAACAAAAGAGAATGAACACACAATTTCAGAAAGTTAGAATGCTAAATGAGTATGAGAGTTGTAACGTCCCAGACTGCTTTTAAGATTATCGATTGACCTCATAAACAAACACGGGTCTTTTCAGCATGTTTTATCTTCATTCACACGCTTTCCAAAAAACTTTCTAAAAGGTCACCCATCCAAATACTACACCAAGTCAAACCCATCTAACTATCAAGTTCTTATTTGTTAGACTACTGAAAAGAAGATGAAAAGAAGATGCATCTTGTTGGTATAGGTAGTACGAATAAATCCTTATAAGCATTCTTTCAACCATGCAGTCCCATACCAGCACAACCTTAAGATTCTCTCATTCTGATGTGAATTCGGGCAACCATTCACCGCCCTCTTCAACCTTGGGTGTTACATGCCCACCAATTTTGTAACGCCCTAGACTTCTTTCAAGATTATCCAATGACCCCACAAACCAACACAAATCTTTTCAACATGTTTTATCTTCACTCACGCTTTCCGGGAAGGTCACCCATCCAAATACTACTCCAAGTCAAATCATACTTAACTATAGATTTCTTATTTGTTAGGCTACCGAAAAGAAGATGCGTCTTGTTGGTAATGGTAGTATCAATCAATCATTATACGCTTCCTTCAACCATGCAGTCTCATACCCGCATAACCTCATGTTCCTCTCATTTTGATGTGAATTCAGGTGACCACTCCTCGCCCTCTTCGGTCTCGAGTGTTTAAACCACCCCTTCCCTATTTGACCTCAAGTGTTTCGAGAGTAATCCTCATAGTTGATGTGAGACCATTGGAATCTTTGGAGGTTATGTTAGGAATTTTGTATCTAACAACTATCTAAGAATTAAGAGTTGGCATCACAAATCCAATCCAATCCTTAATTCAAAAGATAGTAGTGCCTTTGTTAATCTTCAAGAAAAAATAGAAAGGAGGAGATCATCGAGAAAATCAAGGAGTTTATATGGTTACTCAAAGAAGAAGAAAAAAGATCAAGCATACTCGAAAGATCTTCATGTTCTTTATCATTGTCTTTATCAATAGGAATACTCAAAGATAAAGTGAAAGATCAACACCAATATAATCATTTGAACGAATGATCTAAATAAATGAGCGATTATCCAAAGAGTCATCATCCGTTGGAAATAATAAAGAACCTTTATCTAGCCAAATCCTTTATGAAGACGCTTGATCCTATAGAATAAGTGAAGAAGCTTAAAAATTAACATAAAAAAAAATATTTGGAGAAGAAGATGGCAAATCAGCGAGATCAATATCAAGTGATTCAAATGTATTCAGAGATATACCTGACGATACATCAGAAGACTATAATGAAGTATCCTCTTAAAGAAGGAAATATGATAAAGAAGATCATAAGTGCCTCAAAGCATCAAGAGAAGACGATACCGAGGTAACTTCTTTAACGTATAATCAAATGTTTAAGTTTAGTGTAAAGATCAGTAAAGATATAGGTACATTATTAAAAAATTATTGACCTTAAGGAGTATATTGAATTCTTAGAAAATAAAAAATAAATTTCATTGTGAAGAAAATGCTAGCATTAGAAAAGAATCCTTAAAATCAAATAAATGTGAATCAAGGGCCTGTTACGTTCACCCGTAATAGCTATTATGGGCCGTAACATGAACGGCCCTTCAAACCCTCATAAGAAGCGTCCCAGGCCAAAATCTAGAGGCCTATTGTGGCCACCCGTAATGGCTATTACAGACCGTAATAGGCAAGCGAGATTTCTCCTAATTTGTTTCATTTTCTGGCTCGATTCCATCTGCTTTAAGGCTTTTGATTATTTGGATTCTACTTTATTATGTTTTTAAGAAGCATTGAAGTTGATGTTTTGTGCCATGTTTGAAATAAGTTATAAAACTAAGAGTTGTTACTTGGTTTGGGGCATCCAGGATTATTTACAGTTTTCAATTATACGCTTTATTTTACTACTTATTATAAAACTCTCCATTTGAGCAACTGGATCATACCTTAATTCAATTTCTTCTTTTCCTTTATTCCGGTTTTTATTTATTGTTTTATCAATTATTTCTTCATCTATAATAGTTGTTTTGATTGGATCGTCCTCACCATGAGTGAGTAGTCCACTAGGGACTAAGGGTTATGAACCCTATCGTATGATTATCCACATGATTTAACTTAAGCTAGTTACGAGAATTCCGCTTATTTACTTTAAAAATATGAGTTTTTAATTCAAACCTCACTACAAAATTAGGAGTGTTTTTAGGCGTTCACTTTATACTTAAAGGGTAGGTGTGAACACCGGAAAGCAGTTTTTAAACAATCAAGTCTAAAGTCACAAAAGTGATCAGATGAAATTGAGAAAAGTCTCATCTTTTAAATAGCTTTGTAAATGTAATGATCACTAACGAACGCTTCTGTGCTAGCGAAATTCGACGAACGTCTCATTCGTTAGAGATAGGGCAATGCGCTGACGAAAGCAGATATTGCCCACAATAATCTATGTTTCTATAAATTGTGTCGGAATTATTGTAATAAAAGTGCTTAAGTCGTGTGGAGAAGTCTAAGATAGGAATCAAAACCCTAAGTCCTATTTTTTTTTGTTATTTTTTAAGAAATTCTCATTTAAGTTATTTTTCCCAAAAGTGATTTTTCAAATACGTTGTTTTGACTTAAGTGTATTTTCACTTATGTTGCTTTTAAAACCATTTTACGATCACTCTAGCTTTACACAAATATATAAAAATTGGTACTTAACCATTGGTCTCTAAGGTTCAATACTTTTTAAAACTACCTCGACATTTGTCGTACGTTTGCAACGTGTCACTAAACTAGTGGAAACTCAATCGAATGAAGGTTTTAATGGAAATAAGTTGGATAGTCTTAGGAATGGGAAGTTGAGAGACAAGTAGAAAAGGAATGGGAAGTAATCAATGAAGGAGAAGTTGAAAAACAATAAGAAGAAAAAGGCATGCCATCAGATGAAAAGACTAAATAAATAATAAAAGAATATAAGGTGAAAAATAGATATGAGAAAAGAGCAAGAATGAAAAGTGAGGATAATCTAGTTGTGGATGAAGCTCCAAACTCAATAATTTGTTTATATGTAGATATAAAAAAAAAAGAGTTTTCAACAAAAGCATGTCCATAATAGTTATTTTAACAACAATGTAGATGGAAGAGAAGAAATTGATAAAGTATTAGATTTCATTTATTCCTTGTTCGCTACTATAAAGTTGAATAAGATATGGAAGCAACATCGTTAATACCTCAAGTTCATGTGAGTCCTACCAAACAAAAGGAAGAAGAATAGTGATATGTTTTTTTGATAAAGTATTAGATTCCATTTATTTCTTGTTCATTATTATTAAGCTGAAGAAGATATGGAAGCAACATCGCCAATACCTTAAGTTCATGAGAGTCCTACCAAACAAAAGGAAGAAGAATAATGGTATGATTTTTGTGTCATATAGATTGCCCTAACGGATAATGAATTGGTCAAGCTAAGGACC